AGACGGTATGCAAATCAGTGGGTGTGGCTTCATACCAATAAAACTTTACTGACACCAAAATTTTAATTTCATATAATTTTCAAGTTGATAATATTCTTTTTACTCTTGTCAATCATTTAAAATTTTTTAAAAAAATTTTAGAGCACGCATGGACCATATAAAACCAGCCAGGGAGACTGTGGCTATAAGTCATGGTTTGCTGACCCCCACCTAAGATCAGTTTACCACAGAGTTAATGGTTCCTTGAAAGTTTAATAGAATTCATTCACAAGCCAAGTGACTTTAAATAGCCAAATCTTACCAAGTTTTCTAATTCTTGAGTCACATGTCAGTGGTTTTAACTTTATGCATATAAATCTTGCACCATTCTGATTATTTAATTAATTTATTCCAGGTAGCCTATTCACTCACGTTCTAGATTTTCTAAGGCTGCTGTCAGATATACGGTAAAGTTTAATTTTCTCACCAACAAGGTCATATCACCTTACAACCACGTAGATTAGATGGAAAGCCACAATACTATCTTGGCATTATGGATCAAGTTCTAAATCAACATAGGCAAAACCTCACCCATTCCCTGAAGAACTCCTGTTCCTGATCTAAACTCTGGTCTCTCCTGACCTTATTGTTCTGCATCACTTTTATCAGAGCTGACTACAATAACTTTTCATTGTTCAAAAACAATGTTTTTAAGAGAGCTAGGTTTACTGAATGCTTAATATGGACCAAGCACTGTGCTGAGCACACCTTATGCATTAGCTAATTTAAAGAAACTACAAGCTTTACATGAGGAGTGAATAAATTACATTTACACTTTACAAAGTCAACCTGACTGTGATGTGAAGAACAAACTAGTAAAGGATGAAAAGAAAACAAAACAAATGGCAGGGAGAGGGACTATTAAACTATTGGAGTAGCAGAGTGAACATGATGCCTTGAGATTATGGTGATGGGAGGGAGGATGGATTCCAGAGAAATTTGGGAAATAGGTCCACAGGACTTGACGTGGAAGGTAAAGAGGGGCGTGTTGACGACTCCCCAGTGTGAATTCGCTGATGATGAGCTAAGTGCGCAGTCTGCCTGAAAACTTTTCTGCTTTTCTTATAGTTATAGGATCTCTCTCCACTATGAACTCTCTTATGTTGATTAAGGTGTCCGATTTGGATGAAGGTTTTCCTACATTCCTTACATTCATATGGTTTCTTTCCAGAATGAATTCTCTGGTGCACACTAAGGGACTGACGGTGACTAAAGGCTTTGCCACACGCACTACACTCGTAAGGCTTCTCTCCAGTGTGACTTCTGCGATGACAAATAAGGGAAGATTTTGTCTTGAATGCCTTCCCACACTCAATACATTCGTAAGGCCTTTGGCCAGTGTGAAGTCTCTGATGTTGAGTACAGGACGAGTTATCACCAAAGGCCTTCCCACATTCGACACATTTATAGGGTTTCTCCCCAGTGTGAACTCTCTGATGTTGAATAAGGTGTGTGGTCTGACTGAAGGCTTTACCACATTCCTTACACTCATATGGTTTCTCTCCTGTATGAGTTTTTTGATGCTGTGCAAGGTGAGCCTTCTGGGTGAATGCTTTACTACAAACCTTACATTCATAGGGCTTCTCTCCAGTATGAATTCTCTGATGAGTGGCAAGCTGGGAACTGATGCTGAAGGATTTCCCACATTCCCCACATTCAAAGGGTTTCTCCCCAGTATGAATCCTTAAATGGCTAGCAAGGTGTATATTCTGTCTGAAGGCTTTCCCACATTCTTTACATTTAAAGGGCTTTTCTCCAGAATGTACTCTTTGATGTTGAGTGAGCGATGCATGATGGCTGAAAGCTTTTCTGCAAACGTCACATTCGTACGGTTTTTCTCCAGTGTGAATCCTTTGATGTACAGTGAGGGATGAGCCATACCTAAAGGATTTGTGACACACATCACATTTGTAAGGTTTCTCTCCGGTGTGAATTCTCCTATGTTGATTAAGCCCTATGTGGTCACTGAAGGCTTTCCCACAATCGATGCAATCAAAGGGTTTCTCCCCAGTGTGATAGTATCTCCAGTGACGAATGAGGGATGTGTTCTGTATGAAAGCCTTCCCACATTCAATGCACTCATAGGGCTTCTTGCCGGTGTGACATCTCTGATGTCGTGCAAAGGATGAACCATCGCTAAAGGCCTTTCCACATTCATTACATTTATAAGGTTTCTCTCCAGTGTGAATTCTCTGATGAACAGTAAGGGATGAGCTCTGGGTAAAAGTTTTCTTACATTCATTACATCTGAAAAGTTTTTTTCCTGCATAGATGCCTGTTTGTTTTATTACAACTGAATTTTTGGGGAAACTTTTAACTGAATCATGAGTATGAACTCTTTCTTCTGAATCTTCCAAATAGAACCATCTTCCAGATTTGTTATACATATGCTGTCTTTCCTTAGAGAGGGTTTTGTTATGAGTACTTGGCTCTTGCCTGAATTGTGTCTCTTGACCTACAAACTTCCTTTCAAACACATGCTCAGAATCCCAATTTTCTCTGAAAGTGGAACACTCAAGTTTAGCATTTGAGGTTCTGTCTGTTACCCCATCAGCATATGAATCCTGCTTTGGAAATAATTCCTGGGTCTCACATACAGATTGCTGGCCTGAAAAATATCAAGAAAATAGATGTTCATTTATCATGTGTTAGAAAAAACGAATATGCTAAAAGGAGATCGTTGAGCTAATTAACTGATTGGTGAATTAAACAAGAGTTTCGCAGCTCTAAAAGCTAGTACATTTAAACATGCAGTGTATAGTGTATGTAACAAAACCCCAGACTGAATTCACTATAGGAACCTAAGAGAGGTAAGTAGAAAAAAATTAAATACATGAAGAAACAGTTACATCAGAAGAGTAATGAGTTGACAGGCTATGACATTCACTGCCTTTATCTCTCTCCTACTCCCTGTCTGTCCTGCTTTGGATGCCAGAGCAGTCACCATCAAATGCTATCATCATATCACAGGAGTCATTCAAAGGAAAATGCCAAAGCACAAAAAAGACACTGTATTCTTTGACATCCATTAGGATTACCTGAAAGTCCAATTATTACTCTACAACTGGAAAATGGTGTTTCTATTAAGCGTATTTGATGCATCTGAACAAAAGCTACATTGCCAATGGATTACTGAAGCTCAGTATTCACATAAAATCATTTTCACATTTTCCTGGTTACTCCACAAGTATGAAAAAATCTGGCCATTTCAAACCGGGGCCTTGTAATTTCTCTTTTTATGGCGATAAACTTTTTCTGGCTTTATTGAGGTATAATTGACAAGTAAAAATTGAACATATTTAAAATATAAAACAGGATGTTTTGATACACATGTA